GGGTCTGACTACAGCCCCCATTCCAAGTTCCCCTGCGCCGCTCAGGGGGAGGAGGTAGAAGAGAGTGGATGGAGGGAAGGTGTTTTTTGTTTGCTTTGAGTTTCTCACTGCTCTAGTCCATTACAAATAGGCAATAAATAATATTAATTTCCCTCTGTCGAGTCTGTTTTGCCTGTAACAGTTATTGTTAGTTATCTGTCATCATCTGAATCCTTGAGCCCTTTTTCCATCATGTTTTCTCCTTTTCTTTTGAGGAGGGGGAGTGAGAGAATAGCTATGACAGAATTCAATTGCCCAGCAGGGTAAAACAACCACACCCCCTTGAGCTGGAATATTTGTTTAACAAATCCTATAGCTTGCTGGTTTTAGATCTGCCTGGTTTGAGTTTCTTTTTTCTTTTTTTTTCTTTTTTTTCTTTTTTTTTCCCCCAAAGGCATTGGAATTATTTCAAAATTGGATACCTTGGAGAAGTATTTTTTCATTATCATTATTTCTATGCTATCTTATATGCAAGTGCATAAAACATTATTTCTTAGTCTCCTTCCTGTGTACTGTTTATTAGAATTTCTCCCCTTTTTGTTCTTTCACCACTTCAGGAATGTGCCTGAAGTCCTAAATCACTTTTATCTATACTGCTGTTGGATGACCAGAATCATGAAAATCAGAACTCACTTGTATGACAGAAGATAAACTGCATTTATTGGGTCATGAAACTCTCACACTTAGCACTTTATACTCCATTTAAAAGGCTTCTGCTGTGCACTTGTATTCAAATGACCATAAGCAGAGATAGCAACATAGCTGGCTTACAATTTCACATCCAAACTTCCATGAAATTCTGAGGAGTTGTTCTCTTAAGATTTAATTCAGGACTACTCTATTTTCTATTCATGACCATATATTTCTATCAGATATTAATATTTTAATAATAATAATAATAAAAAAGCATAAGGAACTTATTTGTTTTTTGAATATATTTACAATAGACAAAGGAGTTAACTTCCAAGTAGTAGACACCTTTTTTTCTTTTTTTTTTTGCGCAGGTTTACTTTCACACATGAAAGAAAAATACATTACTAAATAGGAAAAAGGGGAGTCTTTTCATTATTTATTTATTTATTTATTTATTTTTAAGTCCACAAAACAGTATCAAATTCTGTCATGTAAAGTGACACTAAAATGTAAATGTCTTTCACGGATCATTATCAACAAGCAGTCATTCTTAGCTTATTGAAAAAAAAAAAAAGAAATTATTTGGGCACCAAATATGTTGCTTTAAATTTTCAGCAACTGTAGCATCTATTTCACTATGAAAATCGTATTTGATTAACTTAGCCTCTGCCTTATATACACACAACAACATGTAAAGATCTCTCAATTTTCAGAACATTCATGACAATCTTCAATTATAATCCAAATGTATTATCTGAGGACTAAACCCCTAACATATACTAAGCAAATTTCATTGATTAACTGTGAGAGAAGTGGAGAAACCAAGCTTAAATATTTTTGTTTCATGTTTGCCTATGTGCAGAAACATTGGAGAGGAGAGGTAGGTCGAGGGAGGTGATTGTCCCGCTCTACTCTGCGCTGGTGCGGCCTCACCTCGAGTACTGTGTGCAGTTCTGGGCACCACAGTATAAAAAGGACATGAAACTGTTGGAGAGTGTCCAGAGGAGGGCTACGAAGATGATGAAAGGCCTGGAGGGGAAGAGGTACGAGGAATGGCTGAGGGCACTGGGCCTGTTCAGCCTGGAGAAGAGGAGGCTAAGGGGAGACCTCATCGCAGTCTACAACTTCCTCGTAAGGGGGTGTCGAGAGGCAGGAGACCTTTTCTCCATTAACACCAGCGACAGGACCCGCGGGAATGGAGTTAAGCTGAGGCAGGGGAAGTTTAGGTTGGACATCAGGAAGGGGTTCTTCACAGAGAGAGTGGTTGCACACTGGAACAGGCTCCCCAGGGAAGTGGTCACTGCACCAAGCCTGACTGAATTTAAGAAGAGATTGGACTGTGCACTTAGTCACATGGTCTGAACTTGGGTAGACCTGTGCGGTGTCAAGAGTTGGACTTGATGATCCTTAAGGGTCCCTTCCAACTCAGGATATTCTATGATTCTATGATTCTATAGCAGGAGGATCACCTCTTTTGACTATGTCTATGCTGTGTTTAATGCACACTAAAGGCAAAGTCTTTTCAGGAAACTTACTGGCTGGAGATGTTGAAATATATTCCTAGTGAGCACTTATGCTGGTGAAGAATAGCTGACAAAAAACAAATATGAAACAGAAGCATATTTCTCATACTTGGAGAACTGCAGACATACCCATATAATCATAATGAACTAAGAGTATTGGCAACATTCACCGTTTTTAAAGATACAGTGGTTAAATAAATAAGCTCCATTTATGTTCTATTTTCTATTTATTATTTAAACAATTTAAAAACAGATTTTTTAAAACACTGTAAAAATATTCAGTGAAATCATTCATGCAATATATTTTTTGTTTCCACTTTTCCCCAGAGGCATACAAGCAGTAAATTCATTTGTTCTGATTTTTTCTTTCAGGTAAAGAAAATTTATTTTAGGAATAATAGTGATATCATCCACAGCACTGCTGTGGAACATTTCCATTATATAAACATTGAAGCTTTCCTGCTCAAGGAAAAAAAAAAAAAATAATCTGTGAACTGGATGATAGTCTGAAAGCAACAGAGATCATGTTTGATGTAGGGAAAAAAAAATAAAAAAAAATACTTTAAACCAAGTCTGTTGAAAAGTGTCTGTACAGTTCAAACCGAAGTCCATAGAAGTATGCTGATATTCACCAGCTGAGGCTCCAGTTTTCTGTTTGTGAACTGGTAAGGACATGTTTGAAATAAGATTGATAATGGAATGCTAGTACCTGTAACTTCCATTCTCTTTCACATTTATTCTAAAAAACATGTTTTAATTCAAGTGTTTGGTCTGAAGGAATCAAAAGGCAGATATCAATATAAACCTTTCTAGTTTTCAGTCCAACAATATGGCCTTTTAGTATGAAAACATATCTCTGCTTTCAAAGCACAGCTCCTTTATAGACATTTTCATTACGCTAACTTCCTATGCACTCTCTAGAGGAGAGAGATCAGATGGCACTTGTATGAATATGCAAACTTTAAGTTCTTATTTCTCATTTATCAAGAACTACCAACACAACTGCAAACTAAGTGAACTGTATCCAAACAAACAAGTCCCAGTATTGTGACATCCAAATGGCATAGCTTGCTACTGCATTATTGCAAGTTGCACAAGTTTGTCTAATGGCCATTGTTTGAGCTGGCAAACTGTGAGGAAGAAATGAGGGAAGTTTTCAGAGCTTTTAGCCTTTTTTTTTTTTTTTCCCTTTTAAATTCTTTCCTTCCCTAAGTCATTTGAAGACGTTTTCCATACACAAAAACTCACCCCATGCTTGATACGTGGCTAAGCACTGACCAGGATCTACCTTCCATGTGGATAAACAAAAGATCGATATTTGCAGTGGGAAGGCTTATTTCCTTTGTGCTTCCCATCAGTCCTGACTTCAGGGTTGGCATCTATGTTGTGGCACAGTGTATGGCATGGGAGCAATGCAAACTGGTTCCTCCCTGATTCACTCACTTCTAGTGCCAATGTCAAATCTGCTTTGTACTGATCTAAGCGGCTGCATCCAGGGAAAGTAGGACAGCCACTCCCCAGAGAGGGGGGAACAGTCCAAGAGGAGGGACTGGTCCAGACTTTATGCTCTGTGCTCCTGCTGTGCATCTCTGTTTGAGTACCCACAACTATTTCTTTTCCTCTTGGAGGCTTACATCTCTATAGAAATGATGACCTATTAGATAAATATCTACACTACGCTCTAATAATTGTAGTGTAATTTTTCCCTCTTGGACTTTTCCCTTGAAGGCTTTTATTCCAGCAAATATGGCAATTCTAGCAAGGAAATGTATGCAGCCTGACTGACCTCTCAAAGTGGAAGCTTTTCTCAGCTCATAATCCCACGTGAAGTTGGGGAGCACTTACCACTGTCATTCTTTTGAATCTCTTTAACTGTAAAAACTACTAAGAAAGCAGTTATGCTAAGCAGTACCACTGAAGCAGTCATTATAGTATGCAAGGAGCCACAACAAGGAAAATAAATACTGTAGCAGAGCTAGTATCTCTTCTATATCTTTTCTATGGTAATTTTAATTAAGATGCTCAAAATAAGCTTTGTCTGGTAACTGGTATAGAACAGTCTGCCTCTAAAAGCCAGGCTAGAAATGCCAAGCATTTTAGATGAGTCTCAAGTCATTGGACTGAGGACATGAGGAGTGATAGTTACAAAGTGCCCAAATTTAATCTCAAGATAAAAACCTTTTCTTCTGCAGGTTCGTATTTTAAGGGATGCCAGAAAATGATCTGAAAAGTGACAGTTTGCCACAACAAAAAGCCTTCATGTGAGATATTGTTCCTTAAGCTAGAAGGCCAGGCCAGCAAAGGCATTGCCCCCTTTCAGATAGCCAAACCAAACTTTTTTCAGACATTTGGAGCCACCGCTGCTACAGATGGAGAAGCTAATCCACTGTGAGCACACCTCTGCAACAAAGAAAATAAAGAAACCAGCCACAGCCAAAAATACTTCACTGACCTATCTGTAGTAGATTGCCTTCCCCACAGTGGCCCCTCACACACGCTTAAATTCAGACACAGATAAAAAGGTAACCCCTGTGGTAGCTGAAAAACTACTGAAATAAGAACACCTCCAAAATGAAGTTTAGAACTTTCTGTGATTCACCATCTATTACAGTGGGGCTAATTAAAATAAATAAATAAATAAATAAATAATAAAACAAAATTAAAAATAAAATAAAATTAAAATAAAATAAAATAAAATAAAAGCAGGTTTGATTTCAAGTTCAAAGTCTTTCAAAATACATTTCAGAGCCTTCCAACAACCTGAAAAAAAAAAAAATTAAAAAGAGGCAAAAAAAAAATAAAGCATTTCAGAAAGGCTGGGACTTTTTAATGCAAGTTTGACTCAAAGTCTGCATCAGCATCCCCACAAGAACAAAATTACCCATGTGATCCAAAAAAATAGTGGAAGGAAAAATGTATGTTCTAGGTAGCACAGAATTTAATTTCTATTATACACTGTAGACCATAAGGATATAGTTGTTGAAATGAAAATGAAAGTGAGAACTTCTCAGGAAGGAGTCTTCTAAATGATGCAGACTAAAAAGCACTGTTTGTTTCCATTTAATAACAAACCTGTGATCCAACTCAAAGGAAGGGAGTAGCAGAACAAATGTTCTATAGTATTAAATGCAGAAGTGGGTAAAAGCACGTGATATATGTTTTGAAATAGTATCACATCTGATATCTAATATTATTGGCTCATTATATGCATGCTTTGCTTTCAAACAATAAGTCTCATTTCACATTCAGCCTTATGAGGACATCCGGAAAATGTAGCACATTTTCTGCTGCTCCGAGCAGTCTCTCAGGGAGCCTTAATGGCAGTGTCTGTGTAGTCTCTGGCACAGACTGCATCTGGGAAACTCTAATGGCACTGAATCACTGTTTTGCTTGCTGGTGGTGCTGCTGTAAATGAGAAAAACAAGTTTAATAGGATTAAATTACATATATTAGACCCAAAAAGTTGGTGACTTATTTGCTGCAAACTATGTTTCCTGACAAAATTATATTGCAAAATACCCTAGTTATGAAAGCCTGCAGCCCAGAGCTGCCACACAATTATAGTTAAGTCTACAGGATGATTTTTGACACAGTCCTACAAAATATTTCTGCTTCCTCTATGAACTCTTTCTTACAGACCTTTCTGATTGCTCTCAAAGGGAACATCAGGGTTTTGAAACTCTGACTGGTTCACAGCCATGCCAATGTGTGGAGGTCTTAAGTAATATGGTCCTTCAGCCATCTAAACCATAGGGAAAGCTATTTTCCCTGTTCAAATGCCCTTAGAGATGAAAAGTATAAATCAGGATTACAATCAATCTAAACCAGACTTAAAACTGCCTCTCCCACATTCCTCAGCATTTCCACACTGCGAATCATATTCTGGCTTGGGGTTACAAGCATGTTCCCATTAAATTTTGGTCCCACTTAGGTGCTAGTCCAAAAAAGTTTATATTTTGGAGAAGCTTTGAACAAGCACTAGAGGCTCTAGTTGTAGATCCTTTATGTTATCAGTCACAAGTACTTAGAATTTTACCCTCCAGCCCAGGTTCAGACCCAGTTCAGACCCTTATCTGAGCAGAGTCCATCTCTTCACATCTCTAGTTGTGCAATACAATGTAACTACTTTGAATACATTTAAAATTAAACTGGAAAATGATGATATTCCCACAATTTTCCTTCCAGGATGATTCCCCTATTAAAGTTTTAGTTGCATTGGGTAAACATATGGTGCTCGCCAGACCGAATACTCACTAACTGCTCCCAGCACATTAGCCTCATCAGAGTATGAGCTGTCTTTTAACACCAAATTGTTCTCCAGTCTGAATAGATTGATAATTCTTTGTAATTTATATGGAATTTTTCTTCAGTTCATACAGCACCATCTTTACTAAAACCTCAACACATTAAAAAAAAAAAAAAAGTCATTTTCCCCCCTCCCCATGACACTGAGACACAGATATAGCAGGTGATATCAGTTTCAGTTCATATCCTCAGCTGAATCCTCTCTATTGTATATGCAAAGCAACTAAACCCATGTGTGTTTTCAGACATAGCAGTCCCAGGCTTACTCCAGCATAAGAAACATGGTCTGGGCGTTCCTGCTCACAAATGAACCTTCTGCAATGGGAGTGACATACTTTAGTCCAGTGTGCAGTACATTGGTGACCCCACATGGATACGTCCTTTGGGAGAATAAAGCTTTACAGAACAATTCTACTCATGGGCTTCACTGGTAATCCTGATTATAAGAAGATTAATATTCATTATATCAAATGTCAAGTTTTTGCTTTCACTTCCAAAGCAACATTTCCAATCAGACAACTCTATGCTTTCCTCAAAACCAGGTGGCATCGCTGGAATAAAGTTTTAAAATCTGTTTCTGACTTGTGATTTACTTGTTAAACTTATTACAATCTTTCCTCTTGTATAATCAAGAATGGGAAAACGTCATTAAATAGAAGCTCATTTTCCTCTAATGACAGAAAGGGAACCAAGAATGAGTATCATAAGCTCCAAATGAATATGTATCTTCATTACTGACAGAAATATTCATGCACTTGGGGGACACTGTTCCACTTGAACAGAAAGACTTAACCTAAAATAACACACGTGCACAGCTGACTTATATCGACATCCTAGTGGACATATTTTCATATTCTCAGGATTTTCCATCTCAGCAGTGCAGAGGAGTAGGGCTGCCTGCATCATCCCATGTATTCATTTAACAATGCACAAATACCAAGAAGCAGATAGGATTGATACCATTTGGGCATGGGTAAACAAGTAGAGCAAGATCAGCTTGAAGCTCTACATCTTGCTACAGTGGATCCTGTCTATCTGATTGTTGCCTTCCTCCATGGATAGCTTTTTATTTTTTACTGTAGGAAACTACTTTTGAAGAAAGACTGAGAAAAAAAAAAAATGGTAATTTATGGATCAATACCTACTGTCTCCCCAGGAAATTTATGTCATGATAAAATATAGCTAGTGCCCATTGTCAAAAAAAAAAAAAAAAAAAAAAAAAAAAAAGAGAGAGAGAGAGAGAGAAAAACAGATGCTATTCTCCCCAGTGTAAGCAAATGTAGATTTTTCCAGACTGTTGCCCAAAGAAATTTTTTAACAATCTCTATATCAATCATAAACATTGACATATCCTGTCACTGCCACTGGAGATGACAATTAAGAGCTAACCACAAGGAAGCATCCCACTCTTTATTTACTACATAATTTAAAACATTACAACTATGATCATCATTATCTAATTTTTAAACAAGAAGACTCACTCAAGCTGACTGGTTTTGTTTAGAAAATTAGCCTGAGGTTTATCTTTGTCACCACAGTCCTCACAAGATAGCTACAGTAGTTATCGCCTGCCAGCAAATATTATGTGAGAAAATGGGGCAACAACTCTTTAAGCTGACATTTGCACTATTTCCACTGCAGAAGGACCCTCACCAGAACAGCTGCCCTGGAGATGAAATAAAATGGGAGAGAAGTGGTTCAGTTTAGGATGAAGGGATATTATATTCTAAATGTTCACCATATATTTGGGATATTTCACCCAACTGTGAGTCACAGCACTGCAAGGAACACAGAAAGACAGTAGTTTTGTACTCACTATTTAAAAACTGGCAGCACAAGATACACACAGAAAAGAGTTATATGCAATTTATAAAACCAGCCCTTTCTGTACTTAGAAACAGATATGAAAATACAAAGGGAAGGTCTGAAATTCAAAATTTCAGTATCTGCAAAAGTACAAAGTGCATAATGACTAACCTGTACAAGCTTTCCACACCAGGGTGATACAGTATTCCCATGTTTCATTTATGCCTATATTAAAAAACAACCTCAGAAGAAGGATCCAGTCAGAAAGGCCTTTTTATTCTTGCTTTGAGAAAAGGGCCAGTGTAAGAAAAACAAAGAAGCTATTTCTGTCTCTAGGTCAATTATAAATGCCTGAAAGGCTATTGCCCTAATTCTACCCATATTTCAGAAGCCTGTGTGCACCTATGCCACAGTACAGCTTGAATATACATAGAGATCTGCTTCAAACCTTACTGTTATCCCCAAAAAGAGCTCACCCACTAAGGTACACAGTCCTTCCTTAGCTGCTCCGCCAGCCTCCACCCAAGCTGGCACTCTCTGCAACCTAACACAGCAACAAGTAGAGCAGGATCTGTTCCTCACTCCCCAACAGATCCATTGCACTCATCTGCCTGTTGAAAAGAGTAGAGAGTAGGCATGTAGACCAACGATATCCTGATATTGGATGTTGTTATATTAAAATGTTCCCCTTTTATACCAATATTGGTCTTTTGCAAATAAATGACCATCATATCACAGCACTTGAAAGGCATTAACTCATATTTCCAAAATGTTATTATTTGAAAGTCACTGGAATTTTATTGAAGGGCCTTCCAGTCTGCCCATAGGCGCCAAAAGAGCTGCAGAAAGTTTGACCTATGTGAAATTACCTCAATAAAACACTTTCCTCAAGAATTCAACAACTATCTTAAGTGTTTATCTCATACAATCATCAATTACTGTCGTTGTTATTTCATGAACTGGAGAAGAAAATAAATCCACAGGTAAAGTATAATCCCTCTAGATCAAGTTCTTCCCTATATGTTAAGAAGGAAGAGAGCAGAAGAGTGAATAATTCCAGCTATTGCTGTCATATTCAATAGGAGATACTCATCTTTTACAGTATATATTAAGAAATGCTGCACTGCTGTATTAGCATTGGAAAAGAAATGTTACCTTTCCATGTAGGCTGTTTTTAACCCTAAGGATTTGCTCTTCTGCTTTAGTAAAGCTAATAATGTCTGTACAGAGTAGTAGGACTCGACAAGCTGAACTGGAATGGAAATATTTACAAATTGAAGCTTTAAAAAAAAAAAGTTATTTTTTTCAATAAAATCTATTTTGGTTTTAGTTCAGAGGGAGTGCCTACTCTTCATACAGGTAGATGCCTTTCATTTCAGAAGTTCCTCCTGTGACCAGCTGTATCCTCTGCAACAGTAATGATCAGATCCAATTGGGTGCTCTTGTCTCCATCTAGTGTAACCCTAAGGCAAAGGTACTGATGACACCTACATGTTCCCAAATCTTAGCAAGAAAAAACAAGCACAACTTTGCCATGAATGTACCACATGATATTTTGATTTTAAAACAGGCCACACAACTCTTTTTACAAGTGAAGTTTACTTGGCTTGGGGCTTTAAACTGCTTACATTCATGGGACTTCACTTGGATCACATAGATTTCACTTATGCAGTGCTAAGACAACTGGATCTCAGAACTAGATTTAAAATGCTCACTAGCAGTTAAGTCTAGATGTCACTTGATAGCTCACCACTAAAGTCCTGCATCCACCTCCATAACCTGTCCTCAGATCAGTGCTCCTAACTATGGCTGAAGTACATTAAGCCCAAGTCAAGAGTCATCAGCACATACTGGACAAACAGACCTCACTTTGCTCAGCAAATATTCATCAGTAAGTTTGGTATAAGTTGGCATTAGGGTTGTCATATATTTCATACCACAAATGCACTTAATCAATAATAGTACTGCTCACACAGAGCTTTCATATTAGCAATGTTCTGATAATACTTCTCAAACTCCATTTTTGCATTTGATAGGCTACGTTAAAGTGAAGCAAAACTGAACTCTTGAAATAAATTCTAGTCTAAGTCAGCTTTCTTAGCTAGCTGCCACTTTGGAAATAAATTAGTCCCTGCAGGGATCACCAGCAGCACAAGCACAAGGCATCCACCCACACAGCACATTCAGCTGTTATACTTTTAATTCATTAGTGTCTTCAGCTAGGTTAGAGGTTATTACAACCTTTCCAGGAAAAGAAGAAAGCTTAGATGCCCTCCTAACCTATTTTAAAACCT